GCGGCGTTCATCGAGCAGGTAAGTGAGATTAATGAGTTGCTACCAATCATTAAGACCAGAGCATACATAAAATTTTTTTAAACCTGCAAAAAGGCCAGACACAAAACCATGATCTAAAAACCGATAACACCTTGACAATCGATAGCACCAATTTGAAAGTTACGTTTTCCTTCCACTTCGTTTAAAATCATATATACATACATCTAGGTTGACCGCAAAAATCTCGGATCACTGGCTAACTGGAGCCCTTTTTGTAAGGAGGAGAGTTTAGATACCTTTCAATTCTGTGTGTGAATCCAAGCAAGCTGTATTTAATTTATGGCTCCCCTTTTTGTTTTCGCGCTTCGGCGTATTAAAATCGACTCAGTTCAGCTGACTGGTCGTTATGTTTTCAATCGGTATTTGTATAGCTTTCTCTGAGAATCATGCTTAAATTGAACACGTAAATGGCTTTAAAAAATTGTTCTCTCTTACTTTCGTTATTTGATAAATTAAAAAACAGACAACCGCGGCTTGAAAATGTTAGAAGTGTAAGCTTTACTTGTACACGATGTACTCGCACCTTTAAGCGGCTGTTAGAGTTCAACGATCGAGCAAAACTGAAAAAGTCATTAGAGGCCACCATTATTTTGATAAACCTTTCCTAATTAACGCTCAGTGAAACAACTTCCTTTAACGTTTTTGGAACACACGGATTTGATACGAAAGACTTTAAAGAGAAATTTGTTAAGTTTGTTAAACTTACTTGTTAACTGTTTTGCTCTCCGAAAGTAGACTTAAATGGCTTTCGACGCCAGAGTAGTCACAGGTGGCCCAAGCCATGTCACAGGCTCTTTCACAGTGGATTATTAAAGAGTTTTGTATAGTGGTTTAGTTGGACTTTCTTTTGAGCTCCGTAAATGTAAAGTTGTGTAAAATAATCAAACAAATAAAGTCTCACATTCATAGAGAGTAGTGTGTGCTGTTCTCCTCGCGATTTGAGGCCGTTTTGATGTGTTTTAGCTTGACGCCCTAATCACCACCGAGTCACCGTGAACAAGATACGGGAAGGTAGGAAGCTTCTGTTGACACATGCTCGCCAAAATCGCTGGAAAATAACACTTGAATATCTTCCCTCGAATCAAAAGTTGGCAGCATGAAAGCCAAATAGTTGCCCGTTAAGTTCACCGAAAAAAATCCCACAAAATTTGGTTTGTCGAGCAACCAATCCAGCGAGAATTTCAAATTAACGGCCATTCTGAAATCTTCTAATGCGTGGAAGGAACATCTTGTCCGGCTGAGAGACCGTTAATGCGCGGTCAACCTGAGCCCTAGTCAAATCTCTCTCAACGGGTCCTTGCCATAGTCTTCTAACACCAACCCTTCACACATACTAAGGTACCCCGGGTAAGAGGATATTTGTAAAAAACCATCGTCATCGCTGACCAATGACATTGCAGAATAGAAAACAGTATGTTATTCAAATCATCAGACCGTGAGATTAGAGGGTTTTCCCGACATATTCGAAATATCCAAATAAAAACGCTAGAAGAGAACTTGGCCAATATCCAGCCATCTTGACCTCGCGCTTGGTCAATAACGCATACATGTAGTCTTGCAGCCCATCGATAAGTCATCAGTGACTAATCAACTGATAACTGGCCATGGATTACTTATCGATTAGTCATTGATATCAGTGATGTCCTTTTTGTAGTCAATTTTCGTGCCAATTGACCATGAAATAGAAGTCACAAATTGGACGTATTCAGTCATCGCCCCTTAAAGGTAAACTCGGCTGGTATACGGTAACTTCAAAACTGCAGTGTTTCAGCATGTTTAACGTGTTTTTCGGCTCATTATCGATATTTCACGTGCTCCGCAGATCTCGGCGGTCCAGGTCGCGATCGCGATCTCCAAAACATCAGTCCTCAGAGCATCACCATCGCCGAATCCGCAGATTGCATGGGAGAAGAAGGTATAGTATTCACATTGTCTGACTTCTATTTGTTTGACATGATTTGTGGACCGTTACAACTTGAAAAAAGTGGGATGGTTTAAATCTCTTAGATTTACAATAAGATACAGAGGGGGAATTTTTTGCCTCTTCTTTTCACAAACTGGAAAAGTGGCAAAAGAGCCAGAAGAGTTTAAATTGTATACCAACTTACTGACCATAATCAGGAATGAAACTGTAGGAATCGAAAAAATTCTAATCCTGGTGTTGGGCTGATTACATGTGATAATGTAATGTTTTCTTTTCCTACCTGACATACAGTAGGAACTCGAGTTATGCCTCTGTTACGTTATATCTTAAAACGGTTTTAAGTTATTGTGGCCAGCTACCGAAATAGAAACTTTTAAGGAGGCTCAAAAGGGTTTTTAGCCGAGCGCGCGCGCGTAAATAACACACACCATCTCCAGAAAAAGGTAGAAGAACGCATGTGTCGCGCATGCTCAAATGCTAATCTTGTCGACTCGAAATTTTTGAAGTTTCGTAACTTTAGTCGCTTATATTTCTGCTTCCGCTCGGTAGAATTTTTCATTTCGCTTTGCGAAGGGAGATGTAATTGCCCTAAAACACAACTGGAAACGTTGTTTGCAGCCCTTTTTCCTAGCTATTCTTAGGGAGGACCTTCATCGCAGCAATGATGGCATCTTTGAACGCACCATACATATTAACTTTCTTGAGCCGTCAGAGGAAGATCCGTTAGAATACACTGTAGGCAATGAAGACAACAACAACGCACCTCAGTGTATTTTAAATAATGCAACGTTGGTTCAGGATGGTGAGAAATTTCTCCTAAGTCGAAACGAGGAGCAACGCCTAAAAAACTTGGCTAATGGGTCCGTTACGAGGATGATTATGAGAGCAGTGGTGAGGACGAAAGTGATGGTGACAACCGTGAAGACCATGTTGATCAACCGACGCGTTTCGAGGCTGGACGCAGTCGATCCGGCAGGAGAGTGAGACGATTTGTGTTTTGACAAGCTCAGAAAAAATCCCGGGCCAGTCAAACTTTGCTCAAGTTTTCTGGATAAATACATTTCGATAGATTTCTTACAAAGAAGGCATTGTAGAATCTCGCGTTGAAGACCAGGTTTGAAGCATGACCAAACATTGTTTTTTTAAGCGTATGGTGAAGAACGGTTACTGCGATAAATACATTTTATTCCAATGTTGGTTATGAAAATGAACTTTTTAAAAAGTTAATGAGGCTAATATTAACGTCAATTTCAAGCCTTATTTTTTGTCAGGCGGATGGAATCGAAAGGTATCAGATCTTTCCGGAAAATTTGTTTATCTGTGTTTCTCTAAAAAAGCTCAGGAATTTTATAGAATCGCACTAGTTCGTTTTTAATTTAGGGAAATTAAACTTCTAGTTAAATTTGAGCAAAATCAGGAATGTTTAGACGTATCAACGAAGTGTCGGACCCTTCGATGACGATTGTGAGAGGTTATATTCTACAATGGTAAAGACGAACAAAAGAAGTGGAGATCGAGTAAATTTAGGTAGGATCCTATAGTATATGCTTTGGGTCATTATGACATAGTGAAAGAAATGTAAAGTGGCATATTTTTATAGTCTAATAATGTCGCATTGGCGCAATGAAGAGAAAATGCCTTGGGATCAACATAATTTTTGCGGGATCAGGGATCAAAATTCTCATCACTTTTGGAATCAGGGATCAAAAATTTGGGTAAAATTACGGGATTAGCGACGAAAAAATATACCTCGTTACGATCCTACTATTAATAACTTTAGAGTAGCTCGATTATAGCTCAACCATTCTTTTTCAGAGTTTTGTATTACATAAGAAACAAGTGGGACAACGATGTTTCGTGGAGAAATGGAGTCACCTTTCGCCTGCAGACGACGCGAACCGAACTGTCACCTTAGCAACAGCACAACAAGACAATTCTTTGTTTTCAAGCACGTGATAAAAAATTGGAGGATTCACTTCCGGTGGCCATGTTGGAAGATATACAAAGCTTTTAAAATGGCGGACGCGACTACTTCTTCTCACATTGATATTGTATTTGACGACTATTGGTTAACTCTAGATGATGTTACGAGGGCTCGCTATCGTGACAAAGCTCTACTGTGTGGTTTTGATCCGTATAAGTTGAAAAAGTGCGATTTTTCAGAAGATTTAAGCTTGCTTCCCGCCGTTCAGTACCCAGATATCGTGAACTATTTGGTGGTTCAAACGTCTTGGACAACCATGTTACAAATGAAATCCTACAAAGCCATGGAAGCTTACAACGTTTTTGTCTCGGGGTGGGTAAAACACTCTTCAAATTAAGAAAACAGGGAGAAAAGTCGTTGTTTATGCTAGGGTAAGTCGAACAGTTTTAGCGTTAATGTTATGCAAGCTTTGTTGGTTTTTTCAGATCCATGTCGAAACTTACAACTTCTTTATTCATTACAAGATCCCTATAATTTATACAGAATGCGGTGCTCGTGCTTATGTGGATTGCATAGTTGTGCGTGCTGTGCGAGTGCGAAGGTGATAGTTACATAGTGTAACACCTTTCCTCTTTTGAAAGATGAAAGTTATGAAAGTTACAAATGGCTCAATTTGATTTTAGTCCATAACAAAGTCACTAAGTCTTTGAGGAGGCCTTCGTTGTCTCATTGAACGACGCAACGTGGATGTAGTCCCTTCCTCTCCCTCAGGAGCAGATTCTACTGGTTAATCGGTGTGTGTGTGGGTTCATTTTCAGGCACGAATACAATTTCCAGGTGTTCGTCTGCTCTCTCATATTTGTCTTCTGGTTCAGCCTTTGCTTCTCTAATCTGCGTGTGATTCCTCCGAACTGGTCCCATTGAGGGGTTAACAATGCAAGATCTTGGCGCAGTACTTCCGATAACTTTACCATATATCCAAGGTTGGTGTCTATTTGCGGGCCTGGGTTTAATGAAAACCTTTTCCCCCTTTTGAAAACTCTCTGAGGGGCTGCGAGACCCTCTTGTTGTACTGAGCCATTGATCTTCGTCTTCTTTCTTCTATGTTTGCATTCACCAGACTTGGCGACGCTGCCTGAGGGTGAGTTTGTGGTCTGCTGTAGGGATGACATCTTTGAGTCTTCTTGACATGAGACGCTGAGCTGGTGAATAGTTGTGACCCTGTTGAGGCGTGTTTCTGTACTCCAGGAGAGCCAGATAAGGATCCTCTTTTCGAGATTTCTTCAGGATCTCCTTGGAAATTTTGACCGCTGACTCCGCTTTCCCATTTACCCGGCTGTAGTAAGGTGATAATTTGACTATGGTAAAGCCATATTCTTGAGCGAATCTTAGATATTCGTGACTCTCGAGTTGCGGGCCATTGTCTGTTATCAACTCGTCTGTGATCCCGTGGCGAGCAAACTCACGCTTCATTGCTTTTATCACTGAGTTAGCCGTGGTGTTTCCGCTGAGAGAGTCAAGTTCAATGTAATCACAGTGACTGTAATGGTCGACCATTACGAGGTTATTATTTCCATTTAATTGGAAGAGGTTGGCACTTATTTTTGGCCATGGCCTGGTAGGTATTGTGTGAGATTTCATTGGTTCCTGTGGCCGCTCATTAGCGTACTGGGCACAAAGTCCACATGAAAAGCATTTTTCCTTGATTTCTGCTTGCATTCCGGGCCAAAAAAGAGACTCACGTGCTCTTCTTATACTGCTATCGGCCCCCAAGTGTGCTTTGTGTATTTTTTGCAACATCTCTTCTCTCAGGGTAGAAGGGACAATAACTTGGTGAGATCGATAGGCTACGCCATCGTAAATAGAAATTTCGTCTCTGAAGCTCCAATACTGCCTTAGTTGCTCTGGCGCTTCCTTTCTTTCTGCAGGCCACCCACTAGTAATTACATTGCACAGGGATGCCAGAACCGGGTCTTTGGCAGTCTCTTGTTTGATTCGTTGCATGGTTTCAAATGTGGCACTGTTTGGTTCAATATCCATCTCAGCCAATTCCATCCGGAACACCTCGTATTCTTCCGTCACTCTGGTTCTTGAAGGATGATAAGTGGCAGGTGCACGGGACAGAGTGTCGGCAAGGTAAAGTTCCTTTTCCCTCCTTGTATCGAACTGAAAATTGGTATCTTTGTAACTTGAGCATCATTCGCTGTAGCCGTCGAGGAGCTTTGCAGAGAGGCTTCTTGAAGATTGTCTCCAGCGGTTGATGTACCGTGATGTTGTGTCTTCCGTACAAGTACTGGTGCCACTTTTCCATGCAAGAGACAATTGCGAGACACTCCTTTTCGATTTGAGCGTAATTCCTCTCGGTGTTGTTCAGTGTGTGCGATGTAAAGCAAACAGGCTGATCGTTTTGTAACAGTGCGCCTCCGATTGCATCTTCAGAGGCATCCACTTGCAGAATTACAGGAATAGTAGGGTCGTAGTAGCGTAATGCAGTCGCTGATGCAATGAGGTTTTTGCTGAGTTGAATGCATTCTTATGCTTCTTTGACCACAGGAATTCAGAGTTCTCTTTCGTCAAATCTCTCAGTGGAAGAACTGTTTCCGACAAGTTGTGGCAGAACTTGCTTAAATACTGGCACATTCCGAGGAAACGCTGTACCCCGGCTATGTCAGTGGGCATTGGCATCTTGGTGATTGCGTCTACTTTGGCTGGATCCGGTTGGACGCCTTTGTCTGTGATTTTAGGCCCCATGAAGGTTACAGAGGGAGATTTGAGCGAAAGTTTTTTCGCAGACAGTCGGAGATCATACTTGTTGCACTTCTCTAGTAGACTCGTGAGATTCTTATCGTGGTCCAAGTCAGCTTCCCCTTTTGAATTGCCACATCCGAAAACGCATATATCGTCAGCAATGTTTATTACTCCTTGCAAACCATCTGGGAATTCATGCTGGCGTCTTTGATACTCTTCAGGTCCCGAGGCTATCCCAAATGGCATCCTGGTGTAGCAGTAGCGACCGTTTCGTCCTTGAGATGTGGTGAGTAAGGATGATTCTTCATCTAGGACGATGGTATGAAAGGCCTCTGAGACGTCAACAATGGTGAATACTTTTGCCTTGGTTAGAAGTGGAAGCTTTTCTTCAATCGTTGGAATTGTGTACTTGGCTGTTCGAATGGCCCTGTTAATGATCTGGCTGGGGTCAATGCATATTCGAAGTTTCCCGTTTGGCTTCTCTTTCACCAAGATGTTTGAGAGCCAGTCTGTGGGTTGCGTAACTGGTGTTATGATCCCCTCATTGCAGAGTCTCTCTAACTCTTCATTGACTCTGCCCAGCTTTGCTACGGGCACTCGACGCGTTGGAGCGTGCGCTGGTCTGACATTGAGATCCAACACGATGTGCATGGGAGTTCCTAAAGGGTTTCCCCGCCCTGGGGCCCGTTTCTCGAAAGTCCCGGTAACTTATCGGGCCCGAAGCCATGTTTTAAAATCAAAATTTATAGGATAGGAAAGCAGGTTCTGGCACTCAAAACGAGTCTCTTTTGTTTCTTTAGCTGGTAGTTTTATTGCATCATTTTCAAAAATTTTGAAATCCCCATCTTAAAAGAAAACATAACAGCTCTGCGGGTCCGTTAAGTTACCGGGACCTTCGAGAAACGGGCCCCTGGTCTGAATACATTTGAGTAGCGCTGTAGTACATCGTCTTTTGTCAATTTTCCTAATAATAGAGCTGGTAGTGAGTTTTGCAAGTCTTCTTCTTCAACTGCGTTTGCCGTCTCGTCAGCGTAAACCTTCATATAATCTAGGGCTTGTGCATGTCTTCCGCTGAGAAGCGCTGTTTTTTCATCTGGGACGTTTACTAAAAGGAAATGTATGGTTTGAATTCTGCCCCTTCTCTAACAGCATAAAGTCGCCTGGCCCTCAGGACGCATAGTTTCACTTTCGTACGTGTTTATCCTGTTTCTAGTCCGATGAATCTTTGCGTTAGGAAATAGCTTTCTGAGGAAACTGCTGGATATCGTATTGCAAGTGCATGCAGAGTCGATTTGTGCTTTGACGACTTTTGTTTTCCTTCCATGTATGAAGTGCAGATTGGCAAGATATTTTCTTGCATACCGTGCTGTGTCACACTCCTTAACGAAGGCTTCTTCGCTTGTGTCTTCAGAGACAAAATTGGACTGTTGCTGTCGAGAATGTCGCCGTGTTCCACCTCTGCAGACACGCACGAAGTGGCCAGTGATGCCACATTTTCTACATTTTTTTCCATTGCCGGGCAGTGTTGCTGACGGGGCTGTTGGTGTTTCCCACCACACCATAAACACTGTGATGACTGCAGCGATTTGCGTGTGAAGTTGACTTGCTCTTGCTGGATGTTTCTGGCTGTTTTCATTAGTTGATTCGCAAACGCGGCTGCCTCAAATGCTTTGGCGGCTTCAACCACTTTCCGTAATTTGACTTTTTCTTGTGTAGTTTTGTGTCTATGTCCTTTTCCGATTAACTTCACTCGAAGGGCATCTGACGTTAGACCGGCGATAAATTGGTCCCGCCTGAGTTCGTCCGCAAAGTCTTGGCATTCACATTGAGCCGCTTGATTTCGTATCCTTGTCTCCCATGACGCAATTGACTCGTTTTCTTGTTGCAGTAGGCGTAAGAACTTTTGTCGTTCCCCTGACACACCAAAACTAGAGCCATAATATTCTCTTATAGCGCTGACAACACTGTGAGGTTTCTTTAAATCGGCTTCGCTCAGACCTAAACTGTATTTGTACACTGTTCTAGCCGCAGGAGAGAAATATGCCCTGAGTCATGCTGTTGCTTTATCAGGGTTGGTCCACTTTGCTGCTTCGCTTTCTTTCGATGAATCATACCAATCTTGCATTATGCAATAATCTGTCAAATCTTCGATGTAGGTTACCAGGTCGTGCTTTTCATCTCCTGTTGTTTTGAAATCTGGAAACGGTGTGTTCGAAGCCATCTTGATTTAAACCGGGGAGAACTTGACTAGTAGATCGCTATATCCAAATATCTGTTGAGAAATAATCAACCTTTACCGCTGCCACCATGTTATTTACTCAGATCCATGTGGAAACTTACAACTTCTTTATTCATTACAAGATCACTATAATTTATACAGAATGCGGTACTCGTGCTTATGTGGATTGCATAGTTGTGCGTGCTGTGCGAGTGCGAAGGTGATAATTACATAGTGTCTTTACGCCATAGAGGCTGGTGTAAGGATGAGAGATTCCATAACCTGTACAGGCACACAAAGCCAGTGGTTAATGCCTTCTTATGTGAAGAAAATATCATTTCATTAAGTAAGTGAAATAGACTTTACATCAGCTAAAAGGAAAGACAAGCTTCTTCGAGAGACTGCAGTGGTGCCAACACCCACTGTTGATAAACCAGTTCAAAGACTAAGAAAAACTCCCAAGTGAAAAATGACGAAGAAGAAGACTTCTTCAATAATATTGTGAAGACAAGCACAAAGTCTGTTATCCTGTCATTGGTGAAACCACACAGTGATAACTTTGTCACTGCTCGGGCAATCAAGCTAGATGGTTTGTCTATAAACACCTCAAAACAGTCAATAATGACTCAAACTTTGTTTCCAAAAGACTTGCGAAAGAGCAAAGGCATTGTAAACCTAAGATCTTCACGTTCTGGCCATTTAATTAAAAAGTCTAGGCGATCTCTTATTACGTCAATCCACCCATCGAATATTCTATGAGCAGTTTTGTAAAGGCAAGTTCAACTTTGTCCGCATGATTGTGAACAGAAATTCCTGGAATTGTGGTGAGGCATTTTGCTTTGTCGAATTAACATGTTTACAAACAAGGTTGAAAACATGCTTGAGAATGACAAAACTTGGCAAACCAGTGTAAAATTTTGTTTTTTCATCGTTTCCCTTGAAACTGTTGATTGTCATATCTGCCTCTAGTAGTTTTTCTTTGAGTGCTTGTAGCTCGAGTGTTGTGTTTTCCATAAAAATCTTTTGATTTTCGAGATCACCCATGGTAAAAATTGTCTGGCACTCCACAGTATTCACTTCACAAATGCTGTTTGGCATTTTTTGTCCTCTTCCTTTTCCTCTGACACTGGAACTTCCTCTGACACTAGAACTAAAATATGAATAAATAACGTTATTGTTAAACGTTTTGTGTATTGTCTGTGGAGGGACCCGAAGGGGTAAAATGAGAAATGGGATTGGCCTGTTTTAGACAATGGGAAATGGGATTTAATCACTGGGACTGGGATTTTTTGCCAAGAAAACAATCGAAACTGTGAATGGGATTGACTTCAAACAAAAACAGTTGTGCATGCTATAATTTTTAGCTTGGGATTTGGTGAAAATAAGGATTGGGAAATGGGATCCAGACCCCCCCTTCGGGACCCTTTCTGAACAATGTCAATTTCACTCGCGCTGTTTTCACGCTTAGTTGTTGTCACGCGGTCCCATGATAGTTCTTAATGTATCTTTTACCTGTGTCTGGATTGTTTTGACTTGAAAGATGTTCGAAAGTCGTTTGATTTAAGTCGCTGGACATCGAGTTCGATTCTACGAGAGTAAACTCTGATTCGGCAGTGGTGGAAGATGAATCTTTGGAAGGTAAGTCGTCAGTCGAAGTCGAGGCTTCGGAGGCACGGCGCGCAGCTTTTGAAGGTTTATTTCACATGTCCTGGGCTCTTTTTTTAGCTCGTTTTTCTCGATCAAAGCTTTTTGTAGGGTCTTGGATGCTGGAGTGGCCCATGTTTACAGTCGGAGCCCAATCTACATTTGTCGTATCTTTCAGTGCGGATGGCTTTCCTAAGGTAATATTTGCAAATGATGTGAAGCTATCTAGTACCGCAAAACTGAGCAAAAAATTTCGTACTTTACATATGCCTTACCTGACACGAAATGAGCACTGCAAACACAAGTACCATCAATATTTTTTTCGGTGAAATCTTTGCTGTCTCTTTTGATATTTTTGATCCACTGTTGTCTTCGCTCCACGGAAAGTTTTCGAGTTTGCTCTCCCTGATGAGTTCTTATTTTCTCATGATACTTTCGATAAAAC